TGTGAAATTTTACAAATCATAGGATTCAGGGAATATGACAACAAAGGGGAAATTACATCCTGTGAAAAAAAATTATAAAATGATATGTAACCGATAAATTACTATTAGTGAGGAAAATTACTAATAAAGAAAATCATGAACAATTGGACTGACTCAGTCTGTTTTCCCTTCTCACCTGGTCGTCGTTGATCGTTCGACTGCCTCTTGCCGACCTTTAGGTTGTTTTGAGTTGTGAAGAATATGGAGGAAGTTGTTCTAATCAAAATTGTATGTCTTAACTTTCTTTCTTTCTTTGCCTTCTTCTCTCTGTACAGTCGTGGTGTATGCTTAGCATTTGTGATTCTTCGCATGAAGTAACTGCTGGATTATCAACTTACGTGATTTTATTGCCAAATGAGCTGCTCCCTGCATAACAGCCAATTCTAGGGGGCCCTTATGTTTTAGGATATCGTTTCTTGAGAAATCCATTCCTTTTTACTTAGAAGAGGTTGGGCTTGGTTCTAGCTATGTGAGGATCGAGTCAACTTGAGCCTGAGTATTTCAACTTTTGCTATCAAACTACTTTTCCTATCGAGCTGAGCTCGAGTAGAGAAAGCGAAACTTCATCGGGTTTCGTTTTTGAAGTTGTGCACTTTACTCTGAGCGTGTGGTGTTGATCTTTTCAAGTTAATGCATAAGTCCAATTCATATATTAATCCATCTTTTTGTGCTACAGGAAGGCATTTCATTTTTCTCTTTGCTATCGGACTTTCCATGGATAAAGGCAAGAGCCAGAGCAACGCATATAACGGAAAGCATCAGTTCATTTTGGGGTGTTCTTTCGTGGTGCTTGTTGCACCAATTGTTTTTTGGGTGTTCGCTTATATCTTCTAAAGAAGAGGAAAAAGAGTGGAAGATATACATATGCAGAAAATAAGAGCAATGACGAAGCGTCTACATCTACATTCATCTCTCCAACACCAACAAGAGTGGGAAGTGATCGCTATGATGTATTCTTGAGCTTTAGAGGCTACAACAATACATAAACGAGGCACGGTACCAATGTTTGTGTTCAGGGATGATAACAGCCTCCATGTCGGTGAAGGGTTTGGTTCACGGCTCCTTGATGCAATCACATGGGCTAATATTTTGATGCCTATTGTCTCTGAAAATTGTGCTTCAATTGAGGTGGGCGGTTTTAATTGGAGACTTACGAACTGTTTTTTGAATTAAGATGGCTTCAATGGTTTGACATTAAACCCAATCTGTCTTTTTCGGCAACTAATTTGCATCTACCGAAATTAGTCATGCTGCAGAAATCATGCCACCAGGTAACAAAGCATCGGAGAGGATGGAGTTCAATTGGTAAGATGCACTACAAAAAAACAAGGGTTTAGCCACGGAAATTTGCGACGAATTATTTTTCGTGGCTAATTGCGACGCAATTTGCGACGAATATATTTTCCGTCGCAAATTAGCGACGAAAAATAATTCGTCGCAAATTTCCGACGAATTTTGCAACGAAAAATAATTCGTGGCTAATTTGCGACGGAATCTGCCACGGATTAAAAATCGTCGCAAATTTGCGACGAAATTTACCGCGAAAAAAAATTCGTGGAAAATTTGCGACGGATTTTCCCACGAAAAAAATTCGTGGCTAATTTGCGACGGAATTTGCCACGAAAACTAATTCGTGGCTAATTTGCGACGAAAAAATATTCGTCGCTAATTTGCGACGGAATTTGCCACGAAAAAAAATTAGTGCCTAATTTGCGACGAAATTGCCGACGAATGTTTTTCCGTTTCTAATTTGCGACGAAAAATAAATGTCGTCGCTAATTTGCGACGAAATTTACCACGAAAAAAAATTCGTGGTTATTTTGCGACGGAATTAGCGACGAATTGTTATTCGTCGCTAATTTTCCTCTACTTGTAGACCCAATTTCTCTCTCTCTGCTAATTCCTCTTATCCCTATTAGCTGTTCTCCCTTCCTCTCTCTATTCGCTGTTATCCCTTCCTCTCGATAAATCTCTCCGCACGCGCAAAAATCTATCTCGGTGAACCTTTTCTACTGGTAAGTGGTGTGATTAATTTGGGCAAAACTATTTTTAAATTTTTGTTGTTTTATTGAGTTTTTTTTTTCTCTTTTTTTTTTTCTGACTTCGTCGCCAGTCGCCGGTCCGGCAACCGGCGAGGCTCGCCGGCCATGGGCGGGGCCGCTGGACCTCGCCCAGATCTGGGCGAGGCCGAGCGGCCTCGCCATGGGGCCCGGCGCCTGGACCTCGCGGCGAGGTCCGGCGGCCATGGCCGCTGCCGGACCTCGCGGCGAGGTCCGCGGCGGCCATGGCCGCCGGCCGGACCTCGCGGCAAGGAGGTCGAGCGGCGGCCGCCGGGACCTCGCCGCGAGGTCCGAGATCTGGCCATGGCCGGCGAGGTCCAACTCGCCGGCCGATCGCCGGTCGCCGGACCGGCGACCGGAGAAAAAAATGAAGGAAAAAAAATTTGGGAAAAAAATTCGAAAAAAAAATTATTAAAAAAAATTGGGGAAAAAAAATTATTATAAAAAAATAAAATCTGAAGTCAATTTTTTTTTGTAGGTACGTATTCGTTTGAAAGTCTCGCGGATGAAGTGAACGTTGCAATTCTCATCAAATTGAGCACTTTGTACTACAAAGATTTCAGTCAAATACTTGGGTAAGTCAATTGTTTTAATTTTTTCAATTTCAAAATAATTGTTTAGGCAAAAATAAAATTTTAATTTTTAGAATTTTATGGTTTTAATATCGAAAATTTTTTGGCATTAATATTTTACGAGATTTTGTTTTTTTTATATAGACAATGCAAAGAGACAGGGCTTGGATGTATAATAAGAACTTACCTGGACGTCGAGGATTGACCGATGAGTTTCGTCTTGGGTTGGAACTATTTTTGGACTTTGCTAGTAGTAAATATGAGTTGATGGATGGAAATAAGTTAAGGTGTCCGTGTAGAAAGTGCAGTAATGGTAAATTTCATGTATGTGATACAGTTAGAGAACATCTTTGTAGATTTGGGTTTACTCCGAACTACTATAATTGGACTTGTCATGGTGAACCATTTATATCTGATGAAGGATATCGAATAAGTAACCAATTTTCAGTTAGGGAAGAATGTAGCTATTATGACCAAATGAACCCATACCAGAGGATGGTGATTGATGCGGCTGGTCATAATTCAGATCCAAACCATGCAAGTACTAGTTTTACTCCAAGACTTGAACAATTTGAAGAGATAGGAGTGACAGGTTTTGATGAGAATGTGTGTAATGAAACGTTTCCATCTAATCAGTTCTGGGAAGTGTTGAAAGCAGCAGATGAACCTTTATGGGCAGGTTGTGACAATCATACTCAGTTATCAGCGACAGCAAGATTGTTAAATATCAAGGCAGAGCATAATGTGTCTGAGAATTGCTTTAACTCTTTTGTTGAAGTAATGCGAGAAGCAATGCCTCCTGATAACATAATGCCAAGTGATTTTTACGATATGAAGAAGTTAGTGGATAACTTAGGTCTTCCAGTTGAAAGGATTGATGTATGTAGTAGGGGTTGTATGTTATATTGGAGAGATGATGAAAATGCAGAATCTTGCAAATTCTGTAGCCAACCTAGGTACAAGATTAACAGGAACAGGAGGCAAGGTCGTAATCATAAGCGTAGACCATGCAAGCAAATGTTTTATCTGCCCTTAATCCCCAGATTACAAAGGCTTTATGCGTCTCAAGCCACTGCTGAACACATGACTTGGCATGCAAATCATGAAACATAAGAGGGTCTAATGTGTCATCCTTCAGATGCAGAGGCATGGAAACATTTTGATAGAACATACCCTGAATTTGCGATAGAGCCTCGAAATATTAGGTTAGGTCTCTGTGCTGATGGATTTGCCCCATTTGGAAAATCAGGGAAAAGTTATTCATGTTGGCCAGTTATCTTAACTCCGTACAATCTTCCACCCGGTATGTGCATGAAGACACCTTATATGTTTTTGACATTGATCGTGACCGGGCCGCAAAATCCGAAAAAAGTTGATAGATGTTTATATGCAACCATTGATTGAAGAGTTACAACGGCTATGGAATGAAGGTGTCGTTACGTATGATGTTTCTACTAATCAAACATTTGTAATGAAGGCTGCTCTTCTTTGGACGATAAATGACTTTCCAGCTTATGGAATGTTATCTGGATGGAGTACAGCTGGGATCTTAGGATGTCCGATATGTTTGGAGATGTCGAAGTCATTCGGATTAAGACATGGTAAGAAGCCTTGCTATTTTGACATCACTGAGACAATTTTTGCCGATGAATCATACATTCGAAGGAATAAAAAAGAGTTCATGAAGAATAGGATTGAAAGAACTCCTCCACCATTGAGGTTGACTGGTGATCAAATATGGGAGCGAGTGCAGGACTTTCCAACTGTTGTTGAAAACCCTCATGGCACAACTATTGCGTACGGAAGTGGACATAAGTGGACTAAACGCAGTATATTTTGGGATCTACCATATTGGAAAGCTCATCTTATTCATCATAATCTTGACGTTATGCACATTGAAAAGAATGTTTTCGACAATGTCATAAAATACTGTGATGGATGTCACGGGAAAAACAAAAGACAACTTGAATGCAAGAAAAGATATGAGAGATATTTGTGATCGGCCAACATTAGATGTGGATGCAAGCAGCGGGGACCAAAACCAAAAGCGGTTTATACATTGGATAAGGAGCGAGAGACGAGTCGTTTGTCAATGGTTGAAATCGTGCGGTTTCACGATGGATATGCTTCGAACATCGGGAGATGTGTTGATTTGAACGAATGCAAGTTGACAGGATTAAAGAGTCATGATTGTCACATATTTATGGAAAGACTAATTCCAATAGCTTTGAAGGAACTTCTACCAAACTTTGTATGGGGCGCCATTACAGAGTTAAGTAATTTCCTCCATGATATTTGCTCAACAGTGTTAACAGTATCACACATGGAGAAACTGGAGAGAGACATTCCAATTATTCTTTGCAATTTAGAAAGGATATTTCCTCCAGCGTTTTTTGATTCAATGGAGCATCTCCTAGTTCACTTGCCTTATGAGGCTAAAGTTGCAGGTCCCGTCCAATTTCGATGGATGTATCCATTTGAGAGGTAAAATTTTTTTCAAAATAAAATTCAAAATACTTTATTATATATTATGTTCTGATAAACTTCTTTCTATTGCAACAAGGTTCTTATATCATTTGAAGAAAAAAGTGAAGAATAAGGCATGTGTTGAAGCTTCAATTTGTAATGCATATATTGTGGAAGAAGTGACAACATTTGCATCATACTATTTTGAGCCGCACGTGCAGTGCAAGAGGCGGAGAGCAGGAAGAAATGATGAGGGTCCCATCGATCCCAATTGCAAATCATTCTCTATTTTCAATTATCTCGGTCGACCAAGCGGCGCATGTCAGTTTCGTTGCTTAACAGGCGAAGAACGGCAGGCCGCCCATACCTATATTTTACTGAACTGTCCAGAAGTGGAGCCATACTTCCAGTAAGTGTATACTTTTGCAAATATATGTATTGCGTGTCAAATATTTACTAATATTTAAATGTAAATTGTTAATAGGATTTTTCAAAATTCAATGTATGGACTACCACCAAATGAGTTCGACCGTTTGTGCGATGAACAATTTGCAGCATGGTTCAAAACATATGTAAGTTGCCTATAGACCAAAACCAAGTTATTAATATTTTATACATCATTTAAATATATATTATTGACTTTGCGTGTGTAATCTTAGGTTCACAGTAATCATGATCAAGTTGAAGAGCAAGGATTACTATATTATCTGTCATGGGGTCCACAGTCAAGCATACGAAGTTGGCCAGCATATTTCATAAACGGGTACAATTTTCACACTCGAGAATATGGAATGGAAAAAGCCACAATAAATAGTGGTGTGTGTGTTCGGTCATCCAATTGTGGTAGTTCAAAAGATGATTTTTATGGCTTGTTGGATGAAATCATCGAGATAGAGTACCCCGGACCATCAATGCGGGTTGTGTTATTTAAGTGCATGTGGTTCGACCCCGTCAAAGGAACGAAGGTACATACGAAGTTTAATTTGGTTGAAATAAATCACAAGAAAAGGTATAAGAAATATGAACCATTTGTGTTGGCCCAACAAGCAATTCAAGTATATTATGCATCATATCCTAGTTTGAAACGTGACAAAGCTGATTGGTGGGCTGTATGTAAAACCAAAGCACGAAGAAAAATCGAGGAACACTGGAAGGATACAGCATATCAACAAGAGGAAGTTTATAATGCGGTTCAAACTGAGGAATATAACATTCCTACTCTACGAGATCCATGTGGAGCAATGATAGATGTAGATCTAGAAGGTGTTGCAGAAGCTGATTTTCAGATAGAGGATGATGATGATGATGATGATGATGACGACGACGATGACGATGACGATGATGATGACGATGACGATGACGACGATGATGACGATGATGACGATGATGCTGAACAAGAAGATTAAGATCAAGATGAAGACGAAGGTGAAGGCGAAGATTTAGATTTTTGAGACTTTTTACTAATTATGTCGTAATTATTATTATTATTATGACAAAGTTTATTGTTGTTGTCATATTTATTATTGTTGTTGTTGCCGTAATTATTAGTATTGTTGTTGTTGTTGTTGTGGTAGTTATTATTATTATTATTATTATTATTGTAATTGTTGTTGAATATTATTATTGCTATTATTGTTAATGAAACGTCATTGTCCGGAAAAAAAAAAAAATTACGCGAGTGTGGGATAGTAGAAATGAAATTCGTGGCTAAAATCAGTGGAAAATTTGCCACGAAATTTAGCCACGAATTTCATGAAAAAATCCACTCACAAGGCTAAGTAATTTTTCATGAAAAGCCAAAAATTAATTTTAGGAAATTCGTGGCAATTTACCACGGATTTCGTAAATAAAGGCCGTACGCATGATTTAGACTTTTTTTTAGGAAATCCGTGGCAAAAATCCGTGGCAAATTTGCCACGGATTTTAGCCACGGATTTTTTTTTAAAAAAATTTCTATTGTATTATTTTTTCGGAAATCCGTGGCAAATTTGCCACGGATTTTTTTTTAAAAAAATTTCTATTGTATTCTTTTTTACGAAATTCGTGGCTAAAATCCGTGGCAAATTTGCCACGGATTTTAGCCACGGATTTTTTAAAAAATAGATTGTATTATTTTTAGGAAATCCGTGGCAAAAATCCGTGGCAAATTTACCACGGATTTTTGCCACGGATTTTTTTTTAAAAAAATTCGATTGTTTTATTTTTTAGGAAATCCGTGGCAAAAATCCGTGGCAAAAATCCGTGGCAAATTTGCCACGGATTTTTTTTTAAAAAAATTTCTATTGTATTCTTTTTTACCAAATCCGTGGCAAATTTGCCACGGATTTTAGCCACGGATTTTTTTTAAAAAAAAATTATATTGTATTCTTTTTTTGGAAATTCGTGGCTAAAATCCGTGGCAAATTTGCCACGGATTTTTGCCACGGATTTTTTTTAAAAAAAATTTCTATTGTATTCTTTTTTACCAAATCCGTGGCTAAAATCCGTGGCAAATTTGCCACGGATTTTAGCCACGGATTTTTTTTTAAAAAAATTTAGATTGTATTATTTTTTAGGAAATCCGTGGCAAAATCCGTGGCAAATTTGCCACGGATTTTTGCCACGGATTTTTTTTTAAAAAAATAGATCGTATTATTTTTAGGAAATCCGTGGCAAAAATCCGTGGCAAATTTGCCACGGATTTTTGCGACGGATTTTTTAAAAAAATTCGATTGTATTATTTTTAGGAAATCCGTGGCAAAAATCCGTGGCAAATTTTGCCACGGATTTTTGCCACGGATTTTTTTTAAAAAAAAAATAGATTGTATTATTTTTTAGGAAATCCGTGGCAAAAATCCGTGGCAAATTTGCCACGGATTTTTGCCACGGATTTTTTTAAAAAATTCGATTGTATTATTTTTAGGAAATCCGTGGCAAAAATCCGTGGCAAATTTGCCACGGATTTTTTAAAAAATTTGTATTGTATTCTTTTTTAGGAAATCCGTGGCAAAAATCCGTGGCAAATTTGCCACGGATTTTTGCCACGGATTTTTTAAAAAATTCGATTGTATTATTTTTAGGAAATCCGTGGCAAAAATCCGTGGCAAATTTGCCACGGATTTTAGCCACGGATTTTTTTTAAAAAAAAATTTCTAATTTATTCTTTTTTAGGAAATCCGTGGCTAAAATCCGTGGCAAATTTGCCACGGATTTAGCCACGAATTTGAAAAAACCCCAAAATTACCGCGACAATTTTATATTTCGGTTCGAATTTGCCGCGATATAATAACAATTCGTGGCTAAAATCGTGGCAAATTAGCCACGGATTGAAAATCGTGGCTAAATCCGTGGCAAATTAGCCACGAAATAATATTCGTGGCTAATTTGCCACGAGTTTAGCCACGAATCCTAAAATCGTGGCAAATTTGCCACGATTTTAGCCACGATTTTATATCCGTGGCTAATTTCTTCGAAAATTCACCAAACGGCGTCGTCTTCATGAGCAGGTACAAATTAGGGTTCTTCTTTTCTGTTCTCACGATCGAACCTATCTCTGTCTCTGTCTCTTGTCTGTCTCTGTCTTCTCCCTCTTTCTCTGTCTCTGTTGCAGTTCTTCGGGGCGTTCTTCGGCGCGATTCTTGGCGTTCTTCGGCGGCGGACGGTGGGAAGCGAGGACACCCAGCGCGCGGTCTGCTTCTGTTGGGTTCTTCGGCGGCGTCCGAGAGTGTTCGGTCTGCTTCTGTTCGGTATGCTTCTGTTGGGTCTGCTTTTCGCCGTTATTTCTAGGCGTTTGCGTCTCGCTTATGCTTCTGTTCAATGTATGTGTTGGGTCTACGTTTGGGTCCGCATCACGCTCGTGCCACGCTTCTATGCTACGCTTCTATGCTTCGCTACGTGCTTACGCTTCGCGCACGCCTCGCTAAGCACGTATACGCTTACGTGTTGGTGGCCCGAGTTGGGTGCAACGTCGCGTTGTGTGCCTGTGTTGGCTGGCTTCTGTGTTGGGTCTGCTTCGTTCTGCTTCGTTCTGTTCGTGGACGAAACAGATTGGGTCTGTTTCGCCCACGAATTTGGTTCTATTCGTGTGCGAAACAAACCAGTTTCGTGGGCGCTTCTGTGCTTCGGCTTCTGCTTCTGTGTTGGCTTTCGTGGGCGCTTCTGTGTTGGGTGTTGTGTTGGCTTCTGTGTGTAATTATTGTTGGGTCTGTTTCGCCCACGAACAGAATCAAATTCGTGGGCGAAACAGAAACAGAACCATTCTGTTTCGCCCACGAATTTGATTCTGTTCGTGGGCGAAACAGAATGGTTCTGTTTCTGTTTCGCCCACGAATTTGATTTTGTTCGTGGGCGAAACAGACCCAATCTGTTTCGTTCGCCCACGAAACAGAACGAAACATAATCAATAAGGTGAAATGTTGAAATTTAGTTGAAATTTAGGTTGAAATTTAGTTGAAATTTAGTTGAAATTCGTTTGAAATTTGGTCGAAATAAGGTGAAATGTTGTCGGAATGAGCTGAAATTTGGTCGGTCAAGTGGAAACGGCCCGCTGATCGAAATTCACCGCCTACGGCCGTGACGCAAGCCATTTTTTGGCTTTTTGGAGTCGTTTAGATGGGTTTTTTGCCAAAAATTGATTCTGGTGAATAGTGTTTTTCGCGACATTTGGGCTTTTATCACAATTCGGAGTCATTTTATCATTATCTAGGTTTGAAAACTATTTCCAAACCTTTTTTGGCCTAGGTTGAAGCTTTGGCCATCGGGGTAAAACTATTTCCGTGACATTTGCGTTTTCTGGAGTGGCTCCCTTCGAGATAAAAATTTATTGATATATTCATTTTGAACAGAACTTAGTGATTTACTTGCATCATAACATTTGTTGTGAAAGTGTAACTTATTAAGTTCTAAGGCTAGATGAGTTCTTCCTTTTTTACCGTTGTAGGACCCGAAATTTAGCTCGTAGACATTTCCGGACAGCTTCCTTTTTTTCAGGGGCCATCTCTCTTGCTCTCAATAACAAAATGGTAAGCTTCACGACGTACGTCATTATGTGTCCTTAATATATGTCCATAATTTTCTTTATTTTTGTCTAACCTTGCACTTTTTAGTATAAACGTGGAGGTCACATGCGTCGTGATGATGCTTCACAAAGAAGATCAGGCCTTTCCTCTTCCTCGTCCTCATCCCCATCCCTTTCCGCTTCCCCTGCCCCTGCCCTTTTATCTAACCCTCAACTAGTACATGGACACATTGGCCCTTCCTCCGACCCTCAAATGCGAACTGAATTTACTTCAGTTCCATCGCCTTCGGTTCCACCTTCTTCTTCAACGCAACACTCGAATTATGAAGAAGATACCCGCTTCATGATAGCCCCATTTGGAGATTCGTAAGTATTTCATTTTTTTAAATATATGTGAATTATTATGGATGTCAACTGAATTGTCTGTATGCTTTACGGATGCTACGTATGTTGAAATAAGTTATAACCTGTTTGCAGATTCACGGATTCTACGCGTGTTGTGAGGAGACTTAATAAAATAATCGATAACTATTGGATGGGGCAGTTTAGTAGTTGGACCACTGCTCCAAAAGAAGTAAAGGAATTGTGGTGGAATGAGTTCAAGGTAAGTTTTGTCCTTTTATTTCCTCACAAACTAAGTTCGATTTAACATACTGAGCGTACAATTATTTTTCTATTGATTGCTTGCAGCGGAAGTTCAGGTGGGATGAAGCGGAAGAGAAAGAAGTTAAAAGAATTTTTAAGAAGAAAGCCGGTGATCACATGCGAAATGTGATGAATAGAGCAAAGAGAAGACAAGAAAAGCCAGATTTTATTACAGCTGACAATTGGGCGGAAATCAAAAGAATTTGGGACACCGAAAAGCATCAGCAAATCAGTGAAATTAATAAGAAGAATCGAGCTTCTAGTTCTAGTGAAGGGTCTGCCACATATGCTGGGGGCTCTATTAATATCGGGGAGCATAGAAAAAGAATGGTAAGTCTTTTAAACATGTTGTAAAGTTAAATCAATAATTACTCATTTGATTTATGTTTATATTTTGTAGGCAGATGAATTGGGGACGGAACCAACATTTATGGCTACATTTGAACGCACCTTTCAGAAAAAAAGATAAGACATGGACCGGCAATCGAGCAAAAGTTATTAAGGTATGTAAGGTTATATTTTGTATTTATATATATGAAGTTTTTTTTTATTTTTATTAATATTGTTAATGTAGGACAAATATGATGAACTTGTAATGAGCACGCTGCGCTAG